TCCATGCTGTTCTGAAAAGCTCTAGTAATAAAAATATAACAGCAAATAAAAAGTGAAATTCCATTTCAGAGTTTTATTTATTTGTTGTAATCTGTAATAAAAGGACAAACATAATTTGAACTGAAATGTAGACAGTTTTTCAGTACTAGTAATTAAAACTCGAAATGATTTTGTACAAGTAAGAGACAATAATTTTTTTCAAGTTATAATTATTACTTTGCATGGCTTCTCCTTAATGAAATGTTTTCAAATTATGTGGTAATTATTATTACGGGCTTCAGAAGAAATCTCGGGCTTGCTATCCGCTTAAAGTTTTAAGCGATTAGATCAAAGTAAATAGAGTGCCATACTTAAATTATAGTATCTTGTCCACCAGGTAACGGAGATTACCAGGTATATTTTTTAAATTGACTGTTGGTTTTATAGACAAAAAGTTCATAGGTACCAAAAACGAGAACAACCCTCAACTGCACAAAAAACTTTCTTTTCTATAGGAATTATAGGAAGCAGTTCTTTCTATAGTTACCATGCTCTTTCTATAAGAGTTGTGATTATGATTTAAAATTAGAATAACAATTCAGTAAATCGTTATAAAATTTTTTACAGACTTTGGAATAAACACTCTAAAAGTCATTGTTCAGTAATTTACAGCTATAGCAATGAATGTTTAGAATATGATGGATTTTCTGAAATCATTTCTCAAATAACTTAGAATAATTTAAAGATAATGGATGAGTGATCCGTTTGCCTAAACTAAAATTAAAAAAATTTTGAAACGTTGATTATTAAGTACGTTTAATAATTGCTTGATTATCCGTTAGATTTGTGATAGCAAAAAAAAAAAAACCAAAAACAAAACGAATTCTTAAAAAACAAGCCATAGAAGCTCCATTAAGAAAACATAAATGCAAAATATTTTGACATTTTCTGCTGTCAAGCCATAGTTATCGATATCGATAGTTCTCATGCAGCTAAAAAATCATCCAATATTTGAAAAATAATTTTCTTTCATCATTATTGATATCAAAAATAGAAAAAAAATTGAGCATTATTACTTAATATACTGTTTACCAACTGCAATTAAAACGTGTCTAATGAAGTAGAACCTCAAAGTGTCCATTTCCTCTATTAAAAAATAAAGTTTCCATATTCTTTAAGTTTATTAAAAATTTATAGGTATATACATATATATATATATACTAGTCCATATGTATATACTTTATATGTCAATACAAGACACGTCCATGTACGTATATAAAAGAAACATTTAGTTTTTGAAAGTGACGTGAAATAATGTAGTGCAAAAACAGAATTAAAGTAATATATATTAAGTAAAAATAAACTGTTTTCATTTTTCAATAATATATGATAATAATATATGATAATAAATATATAATAATATATAAAAAAAAATTAAATTATTTTTAATCACATATTAATAATAATAAATTGCTTTTCCAAATATTGATCTTTTCGTTAGTCGTTTAAGCTAAATAAATGGTGGAATATTTATATCGGTACATCAAATATATAAAGGTTCATCACGTTCTCATAGCTCTAGAATCTTAGATTTTAAAATATATTCAGAAATGGTTCATATAAAAAAGCACTCCGTATTGTTATACTATTACATAAATTCCGAAGTTCATTAAATTGTTTGGTATGTATTGACTTATCTGGTACATGAAATAAAAACTTTTATAGCTCATTTGATTCCAGATTTACGTGCTGATAAAAGAAAATTTAGCGGTTAAAGGGTTAAGCTCTGCTAAAGTCATGCAATCTGCAATAAATTCTTGAATAATACGAAACATTTTATGGTGAACAATAACTTACAATAGTAAACATGAATCCTTTTTCTATTAAATTTACTCAAATTACAACGTTCTTATCATAGTAATACTTATAATAATAAAAGAAAAAAAGTCAAATAATGAAGTTAAATAAATGAGTATCCTTTTAAACGCAGTGATTTTTGTAGCAATTTCATTAAGTAAAAATTAATGTTGTTTTAAATATAAATGAAATAAAATTGTTAAATAAAATTTATTGAAACACAAAAATTGTTAAAATGAACAAAACTTTTGGAAATGTAGCTTTTATTGTAGGATTTTTAAAATAAAATTCATTTTTATATTTCAGAAAAGTGACTTCAACATAAATGACTTTAAATTAACAAAAGCTGTACAAATTGAAAAAAATATAAACGACTATGTTAAAAGACTTATTTAATCCTTACTGAAAATAAAACTTTTTAATTGATAAATTGCTTTGGAAATGGAAATTATATATTTCACCCGACCACATAAGCCAGCAGCAACAGGACAGAAATGTCGTGTTCTCTTTTATCGCACTGGTAAGTCCTTCTGATTTATTACCTCACCAACTAAATGAATAGAAACTGAATTTAAAAAACAATTTATTTAAACGTGATTTTCATGTCTTAAAAACATTTTTTTAATCAGTTTTTATATGCAATTAATCTTCTAAAACCCTATACTGATATCCTATATAGTACTCTCAAAATGTATTTTTATATGTGGTTAGGTTATATGAGCTTTACAAGATGAAAGTAAAGACTACAACTTTTCAATCTAACAATTGGTTTTATTAGTTAGACACTACGACCTAATTTCTATTTCTAAAAATAGAAATTAATTTTATAAAGATCTAAAATCTCAATCAAATGGTTCAGTTTTCCAACGATATTAACTACATAGATAGCTAGAAATGAAAAAATACTAACAGAAACTTGTAGTTATCAACGGTTGAGAGCAAAATCGATTTAGCGATAACTGAAGAGCTATAATATATATTGAACATTACATATAAATAGTGCTGTGATGCAGTAATTATAATCAATCCAAGACCGCACTTGAGCATACGCTACACGCTATTTTTTTCAGAAGTTTTCATAACACTTCATGGGAACACCATACCACTATCCAGAGAATCTAAATATATGGAAGTTATGCTTAAGAAACAGCTAGAATGGAGTGCTATTGTTAAGGCAGTGAAATACTTGATGGTCTTTACTAATAAAGACCAAACAGCTACAACTGAGAAAGGATGTAATTAAATACAAAGTATACATCCTCAATGGATATATTGAAATACTGCAATAACACAGAGTTTGTAATTAATCCATTAATAACGCCCCTTGTACCTACTAAATTTTTCTTTAAGATGTATTATATTTCCTGGACACATTTAACCACCATCATTTGAATCTATGTACCATGATGCCATCCCTGTTAAAATGATCACATAAGCCAATATAATATAATATTTTTACTAAATACTTGTATAATAACAACTATATTCGCAATTTGATCATATTAAACCCTGCTAATGTGTTTTATTATTTATGAATACTCTTAAGTCTATAAATGCAAGGTTTAGCAGGCTTGCACACTACGAGTGCAAATTAAACATACCTGTCATTGTAGTGCGTGTAGAATCAGATTTATAATATATCTGCCGGTACAGTTATGAAGTGTAAACACTGAGAGGTGATTTTCATGTTGCAATAATCTTTCTGATATGGAGAGTAATCCTTAACAACTTCTAAAGTTTTTCATTCCTATTTAGAAGAAGCTAGCTTTCTATACCCTTAATACAGTAACTATCAAAAGAAGTGGAGACTTTATACAAACTAATAAGAAATATAATGAGATATTAAAAGATAAGTTTGTTCTTTCTTAAATAATTTAATTGCATCTCAAAAAGGTTGAATTATTGCAATTAATAGTTGAATTAATTTGAACATTGAAAAATTTTAATATATTGTTGCATACGTCCATACGTTGATGCGGTCATTCGCGATCGCTGGATCCCGATAAGTAATTAACAGTCAACTCAAGTTTAATGTAACCATTTTTATTGCTCAGTATCTTGTCAAACGCAAACACACCATTTTCTGTGGGGATTATCTATGCCAATCCCCACAGATCTCAAACTGAAGATCTAAACTTAAATTAATCACTGTATTTTCGATATGATGTGCTTATATATGATATTATAAAACGTTAACACCAGCTGGTTCTGAAAAATACAGAGTAAAATATATAGTTATATTTTATTTGCTCGATTGTCAAGAGATGACTATTTCCTTTATAGAACTGAAGTCTGGAATCTTTAATGAAAAGATGATTCATTGACAATGTAATAGATTTTTTAGATTTCAGTTTACAAATCTGCCTTTAAATAATTATAGAATACAACTTAAATGAGCAATTTTTTGTTATTTATAAGTTTTGAATACTAGTAAAAATCATAGAGTAAATAAGCGATTTCAAATATATAAATTAAATGAATTGCTTGAATTCATAATAGTAGTCTGTTTGTTTATTTAAATATTGAACTGTCAGAAGTGTATGTTCAAAATTTTTGTTCGATTTCATGACAAATATTTGTTAAAAAGAACATTCTTCGTCTTGGAAAATATTTTACAAATACAGTATTAAATCCGTTCTTCAGAAATTTTAAAATTATTGTTTATCGAAACCATTAGTGATTAGTGATTTGGAGCAATAAATCGTGAGTACTTATATATTTTTATATCATTAGAATAAAACTAGCTTTTAACTATATTAAAAAATTTGGTTGAAAGTTTATTTTTTATTATTAGTTATCATTTTTAATTGTGATAGCGTATTTTCTAGCCTTAAAGTACAATTAGCCTTTTTTAAATATCAACCATAAATATGGTCATCTTACTTATCACGACAACTATTACCACTTTTGAAGCTAGAGAATGTTAATCAGATAACTACAATCACCGTTTTGTAGATATGAGGCAAGATATCTACAGAAAGTATTACACGACACGAAAGATTTTTCAGCTGATATTACTCATTTCATCTGGAATAGACGACTTTCTTTTTCGAATTTGCTAATTAAATTGCTGGTGCCTTTAATTTCATAATAGTAGTCTATTTTTTTTTATTTAAATATTGAACTGTCAAAAATATACGTATGTGTAATATTTTTTTTTTCAGTTCATATCAAGTCAATCTCTTTAAAGAGGAAGAACATTTTTCGTTTTAGAAAATATTTCATAAATACAGAAGTGATTCCGTTCTTCAGATTTTAAATTTTAAAGTTGCTGTTTATAGACTATTCAAATTGGTGAAATTGATTGTGAGTACTTATATGTTTTTATAGTGTTAGATCAGAGTTCTTTAAACTAAAGAAAAATTTCGCTTGAAAATATATTTATTATTATTAGTTATCGTTTTTAGTTGTGATAGCATACATTCTAACTTTCAACCATAGCTACGGTTTTTACAGTTTCAATTATTACTTCTGTCGTAACTTCAAAATTTTATGACAACTATTACTGCTACTGAAACTGTTTTGCGTTATGCAGAAGATGGTCCTATGACGTGTGGTCATGTCACGCTTAGCTTTTTTTGGTCATGTTCATGAACGTGTGTTATACAAACAGTCAAATCACAGTTCTCAGTTTTATACTCTTCGTCCTGTCGGGTCTAAGCACTAACTTAATAATAGTAAGTGCTTCTCCAAAATAGTGCTACGACGTGTAGTCATGTGACGCTTAGCTTTTCTGGATCATGTTTATGAACGTGAGTTATACAAACAGTCAAATCACAGTAGCATTTTTTAAAGTTTAATTGCCAATAAGCAATAATGATCCGCATTATGTGGCGAGATAATTAACAATGAAAACAACAACAATTTCTGAGACCATGACTATCTGCATAACATTGTTCTTACGACGAAGAAAAAATTATTTATTTTTGTTCAAAATTAGTATAACAATTAACATATTGTATTTTTCGCCTATATTAACTACATTACTTAATACTATTCCACCGACTTTATTACATAAGTATTGTCGTGTTCAGAATCATCTTCTTAGTTTGATTCAAAGCTCTCGTGAAGTATTTCTTATAATAACTAAACTTATAGGTTTCAGTGGTCTTTAGTCTAAACGTGAATAATAGATCCAAATAAAATTTGCAAATGCATGTTTATAAGCTGTTGACTTGAAAGTTCAGTAATATTGTATGTGTAATCAAGTAACCGTGTACTCCCTATACTCTTTATTCATTTCTCTTCTACAAGTAACCAAATGAAACAATTAACCTTAAATGCTCATTCTGGCTAGTGTATTCATTCATGGCCTATTATAACTAAAATTTCTGTAAAGCAGTCCTTATTTTTATATTTAAACAATCTGTCAAAAATTTTAATATTGTAAGAAATAATTTTGGTTTTAACACATTTAGAAGCGATCAAATAATATTGTTTGAAATAGAGCTTTTGTTGTTACTTTACGCTTTTAAAGAGATAAATTGAAAATGGAGAATGATCCAATGCAAATTTTGGCCAAAGGAATGGAGCTGGAGTATACTGGAGATGGTGCGAATGCTATAAAGGAATACCAAAAAGCTATTGATATTTTAATTGTTGATATGGAGAAACAAGCTACCCTTGCAAGGTATGATTTGTATTTCAATTACATCTTAAAGTATATAGATAGAATTGAGGAGATCAAGAAAACACTTCCCAAATCTAATGTTCAACAAGGCATGGTTTCACAACCAATAAATTCAAGTTGTGGAAGTAAGGTCACTCAACACGCAGGTCCAACTAGTGTCGCTAATAACATTCAACCGGATACAGCTTCAAGTGGTGGCATGTCAATGAAAACCGAGACAACTAAGCTAACAGAGAAAGAATCGACTCCATGCCAACCATTGCCAAAAGGATGTAATAATAATTCGGTTAGCGATATGGATATTGATTGGGAGTTAACTAATCGAATACCAAAAGTGCATAAAACCATGTCAAAGGAAAATGTCGCATGCGATTGTGCTGCTTTACCAGAAGATGAACCACCAGTTGAATATATACTACCACATGAAATGGATGATTCAGATAACTCATTCGAAAGCATTTTGAGTGATTCTATTGAATCAAATTTTTCCATAGATGATCCGGTTTATGAGGATATTTCATTTCAAGAATTTTCAATAGAAGCATCTCAAGGAGTAATTCAAGCAAACGGTGATGAAATGACTGATCAAATGTTTATTGAGAGCATTTCTTCAAGTCATGGCATTGATATGTACAATAATTCTCCGGAAGGTATTTTAATGGAAGTTGAGCCATTAGAGGTGTATGATCCGCTTGGGATAATTGATCAGGACTTGGAGTCAATATGTGCCGACTGGGGTTCATCTGATAGTGAATGAAGTTAACAACAATTAAATAGTAATTATTAGCTATAAGGTTGGTATATATTTTTATAATTTTGAATAATTTTAAAATTACGTTGTTGGTTTTGTAGGTTATAGCAATAGCAATAACTCTTATAGCTTAAAGTTCAAAGTTCAACATTTTTCAAAGTAAAGATGTTAAGTTTTGGCGTACAAAATCAAGTGCAAAAATAATTAAGAAAATTTTAAATACATACAGAGAGAAATACTAATAAATTAATTGTACTGTTTGTTGGAAAAATGCGTTATTTAACACATTTAACACATTTAACAATAAAAACAAGCTACTAATAATTTTTTCTTTTATTTTCATTTATTTATGATTTTTTTAATATATTATAAACACGTTAATTTTTAGCTAGCAATAATAAACGAAAATAAACAACTCAAGGTTTAATTAAAGTGAAAGCATGAGACGAAGTGCCAAAGGGTTCGATGTACATTTAATTAAATAAGAGTTCTTGGAGCCACTTCAGTTCACTTTGAAACGCAAAACGTTTTCATGCTTTCTTTGAGCGTTAAAAACTTTTTTATATTTGGCTCAGCTGCTGGCTTAACCCTTTAATTACACTGTTTTTGTATGAAAAGTGTAATGACATTCATTTAATTTCATCTGACTAAGTGAATACTACAAATGGTACATTTGGCGTTGACATAGAATTAAAAATCTTAAGTGGGGTGAAGGTTCCCAACGTCAAGAAAAGCAATCATACTATAATATTCGCTTCTGTCTGTATGTCAGCTCAGTTATGCGAAGATACTTTTAGACATTTTTTGTATATTTCAGATTACCGAACAGTTAAATGCTGTTGGAATTCTGTTTAAAATAGACTAAAAATGAATTGCTCAATGTCTTAAGTTCAATCTGTTAGAGAGGATGTGTGTAAAAGTACTGCCTTGAAGGCAAATGTTGCCTACCATCATAAATCGTATATAATATGAGTACTTTTTATGTAAATTGCACATTTAAATGCTTCTTCTGAAGTGTTAAGATATGTGTTTCATTCTAATTAAAATACGATTCAAAAGAAGCACTTAGAACTTTGTTAAGACTTTACCAAGAGGTATATTTAAAGCTTGTAATAACATGTAATAAAGTAAATAAAAGCAGCCATATGTTAAGTAACTATTAACCTAAAATATCACTTTTTTAACACCAATTATAAATAAATACAATGAATTCATTAAATTCATAAACATACAAGAAAAAATTTAAACATTTCCTAGATGTTTATAACAAGAGAATGCAATAAATATGCACTCTCACAATGTGGTGCATTCACCAATCTGAGAGAGATAGGAGAAAATTATAAAAAATACTGGCTTGAGTTCTAATTGATTTAAAAGCAGAGCTTGTTGTTAGAAGTCACTGCTCTTTTTTAAACTGCAGAATATGAGAGAGACAACGTCAAACACTGTTCTATCAGTAGGTTTTCATCAGGTGATGAAAACACATGGCGCTATGGTTGACCAGCAGTTGGGATACTACTATCTTGCAAGACTGAAGTAGCTGCATTTAAAACACTGACCATTCTATTACAAAACTAACTATATTAGGTACTGTAAAATGTGAAGTTCGACAAGAAATGAATAGAAAAAGACAAAACCATTATAAATGTTAAATATAACAGTTTTGTTTCATATTGGATTAAAATTTCTTTCATTCCTCAAAACTACTCACAATAGAGTAATATTGTACTATACTGTGCTGTATTACTGTGAATTGTCCCACTAAATTTTGTTTATGTTACGATTTAATCCTAATAGAAGACGTCAATATTTTCATATAAATATTTTTCAAATCTTTTTTAAAAAAAACTAATATTAAAAAGCTGCTATTAAAAATAAAACTCTGAATACGGTATAAGAACAAATTTATACCTTCCCAAACAGTCGGCCAACCATCAAATTTATAAATTCAGTAACACTAAGTTAAATGTTTGGATAGGACTACCTAGTAATTCAAAATCAAGCAAATATGTATTTTAGAGTGCATCCGATATGGGTTTAGTACATAATTTCATTGAAAGAAACAGTAAGTTATACGTATTAGCTATATAAGAAGAATACTACCCTTGAAGATATAAAGAAATGGTACTGAAAAACGTTTAAGCATCTGTATTGTTCAAACATTTATTGTCCAAACAATTAACTAGGATCACATGGTCGAAAATTGATAAGAGGAATTTAAAGAAATTGTTAAGTCTTTCAGGAGATCATATCTCTAAAATTATGGTTTGTATATATCAAGCATATTAAGCAACTTTTTATAGATACTCTAAAATTTCAAGGATGTAGAGAACAAAATCACAGTTTAATAGTTTTAAGATAGTTGGAAGGTCAGGTTAGAAGCATAGAAACAATCGAACTCTCAGATCTTTATGGTGGTCATTAGAATTCATTATATTCCATGCATCATGAGGGGTTAAAAATAGTTTTATAAGTAAAAATAGTAGTTACGATGTTAAGTGTAGATAGCATGTTGTATACGGATACCACAGTGTACCCATGTGGTCTAAGCGAATTAAACGGGAAGCAATTTCTTAGTGTATTACGAATTTAATTTCTATAAGAAATGTGTCCACCACTAAGTTTTCAATACATATTAAGCTTTAAAATTACAAAAGTAATTATACCATATACCATATTGGTCTATGTTGGCAAACTAGAAATAGTCATAATAACCTAATCTAAACAATATCAAACCAGAAACCAAAAATAGAAGGAAGTAAAATTAGCCGTTAGCATCAATATTAGTACCACTTCGGGAATAAATAAAGTAATGCCTAGTTATTTATATATTGTTCTGGTGGTTGACATATGGTCGTTTAGAAAAAGCAACTACCGCTAAGAGTAGTGACAGATAAAAGCAATATAAAGTGCAAGACCGGACATATTGCGTGGATTAAGTTCGTTGAGCCTAAAAGGAATAGTAAAAAAGGAGTTAATGTTGAAGCCATTATAAGCAATCGATTTTTGAGTTTATGTCATTTCATTGTACTCCGTCACATTTACCAATAAATAAGGGTCTTTCTCAGTAACTAATAAATCTCAGTATCTGCGCCCTTTAAAAACATGAATGTTTATATATGTGTGGTTATAAATAAATACAAATCCGACGTTTTAAATAAAGAAACAACTGTAGAGTATCAACACAGTAGTAGCAATATGAAAAACACATTGTGTACATAAGAATCATTCATGGTTATAACCAGAAAGTGTTTCTTTATATTATACTAAGGTCTTTTCTTTTGTAAGCATTTCACAAAAAAACAACCGCTTATTTTAAAAATAATAATAACAGTGTGCTGGTTTATTTAGTCCAACTTCTTTGATACCGCTTAACTATACCGCTTAATAAGCAGCTCAAATCGCATGCCTGTGAAGTCTAAAAATATCCAAATTTACTGTCAATATATGTTTTTGTTAATTATTCGTAATTATTGTAGTTATTAGCAGGGACGGAAAATAACAGTTATTTTAAAATTTTTTATGGAAAAAAGCAGCAACAAAAAGCAGCAAATAACAAAAAACTAAACTAAATCTTTACCTGTACCAACCTTTTAAAACATTTTCTATGGAATTACAAAAACAACTACCTTGTATGAAAATTGCATTTTATATTTTCATTTTAAAAATATCGCGCAGAATTTGCGCGATACTCTTGATTTTTATATTATATAACGCAAGTATACCAGTTATTTGTGAGTTTTAAAATAAGAAGCAAATTTTAAGAGTTATTTCTGCGCGAAAAAATAAAAGGCATATAATAATTATTATTTTTGATGAATATAATAAAAATCAAATTTAATTATTATTTTTTGAGTTTTATTTTAAAATGCAAATGATAACAGTTATAAGATTATTTTTATTTTTTTTTAGATAACTGTTACGGTCCCTGGTTACTAGTCGTATTTCGTAGTTGTAGTTTGTTCTACTTATTATTTCAGTGTTATTTATTTTAGGCTTAATTTTTTTTTCGATATAAATCAATAAGCTTATTTAGCTTAATTACACATTCTATACAAAATCCACACAATTTCCAAATAAAATTGTACATCATAAGCCAGTACCTGTCTGTTGGTTTCAAAAAACAAATTGCTTCTTGTTTTTTAATTCTGTTTCACTATTTGCTAAGATTTTAAAGTTAAAGTGTAAACACTTAAACTGTAAATTTCAATCAAAAGACAGCAAATTATGCTTTGCGTTTATAACTGCTTACAATTAACATCTGGCAACATCACAGAGTTTGTGATAGTTGGAAAAGTTATGTATTATTCCTTTAGCAAACAAAACTAAGACCACTGTATTATCCATGCCGAATTGAAAATTGTATGTCAGTCTGCAATATTCGATATTAGTGGTGTGGTGCACTATGAATTCTTCCGGATGGTCAAACGATCAATAAGGAGTATTATTTGGCCGTTATGCGTCGTTTGCGTGAGGCCATTCGCAAAAGGATGCCAGATTTATGGAAGAAAAACTCATGAATTTCACACCACGATAACGCAAGCCGGTGCGTTGGTTGTGTAGCAGTTTTTGGCCAAAAACTTCATAAATATCATCAACCAAGCACCGTACTCTCCAGATATGGCCCCGTGTGACTTTTTCCACTTCCCCCAACTCAAATTGCCATTGCGAGGAATGCGTTTTGAGACTATAGAGGCCATAAAAGAGAATTCGCTGCGTGAACAAAAGGCCATACCTTCGGCGGCCTATAAAACTTATATGGAAAATTGGATCAAGCGTTGGCATGCATGTATTGCCGCAGGAGGAGAGTACTTTAAAGGCGATAATAAAGAAAATTATTAAAAATTAAAATTTTGCGTTTTTTTTAACTTCTCGTTCTTTTTTGATCAAATCGTATGTACATTAAAACAGCCGCTGTTTTTCCCACTGAATGTCAGTAAAATATTAAAAAAAATTTTAACAATAATATTAATAATAAAAAAAAAATTATATAAATAAAAATAAATACTTTATTATATAAAGAAATATTGTTGCAATGTTTGCATTTTTATATATTTTTAATATAATTTTTTATTCCATATGGAGTTTCACAGTCGTTAATCCAATTAAAATGAGTAGTATTACATACAAAAAATGTTTAGAGTCGATTTAAAACGAATAAATAATAAAATTTAAATTTATAAACACAGTAAAATAGTTGTGAATAAACTGAATCAAATATATAAACCACAACTGATATTAAAGTTAACACCTCATTTATATAGAAAAAATAATATTGTTTTTATCTCAACGCATATTTAAGAGTTTAT